TAGTAAAAACGTCAGGATATCTATAAGCGTAATTTTACACTTATAAGAACATAAATATTCCTTGTGCATGTTTAATATCCAATAAGATAAAACTTGATAGATCTATATGTATGAATGAGGCAAACACACAGTTGAAAATACTTTGATTTAATAATGACGGTACAATAAGGATGATAAATCAAATGTTTCTATTATGGATGAATGAGATTTGATTCAAGAGAGATTTTTTAAAGTTGATTATAACATGAAGCTACACATCAAAGAGCATATGTGCAAGATAGCCTATCTAAAAACCACTTATATGAATACACTCGTGAAACCAGTAAAAACTAAAGGTACTCCAAAGAAGGTCAAACCAACTCCTATTAATAATTCAACTAAATGCTCACTGTTATTATTTAAGCATGAAGGCTAACTTTATCCAAATTCTCCCTTTTCACTGCCCGACAAAAGTTATAGCAAAGGTGCTCGCATCAACAATCTGTCACCCTTTTCACATGTACCAATAATAAAATGTATCGAAGTGATATTTGTTTATATACAAATACTTTAATAAGATTGTAAATATTAAAGGTGATGGTAAATGTGGATTTCAAATTGTTTTAACCTTAACAGGTTCGAGGAGGAGAATCATACACTTGTCTGTCAATATCTTATAAAAAAAGTTAACTTTTCATAAGGAATATTACACGAGGTTATACGAGAATGCATAATGATACTGAGACCGCGACCAAGGGCAATGATCCCTCGATGGTACCAAATGATTGCCGAACTTCACAAGAAGGTTTACTTTTCTCTCAACATATTGAATCATGTTAAGATAATCGACTAACCATTTTTCTACAATCACAACATCTGTAAACAAGATTAGTAAAACCTAACACAACATATACATTGTTTAATCTCAATTAATGTAATCTAATTATTGTAACACTCTGATTTATTTAATTAATTTTCATAAATAAATTGTGTGATTGTATGTGTCGGATGATGATTTGATGTGTTAAAGGAACCCTTCGGTGTAGGGTGGTGACCTTAGAGATTAGACTTTAAGGTGTTTGGGGTGTGCGAGTAAAAAGGTATAGATATAGGGGTGGTGGGAGAAGCAGCGGTTGTTACTATTATTTAATTAGGATGATTTATATAAATAATAGTAATAACTGATATTTAAATATTTATTTTAACTATTATTGTTATAGTGATATATTAAGATAAATCATTGATTTAAACTTATTAAAATAAATATTTAGTGGGAATAACATTTATTTTAGTTAGTTGGAATAAGATTTTAATTAGAAATGATAATAGAATAAAATAAGAAAAGAATGGAATAGAAGGAGAACTCTCGTGGAATTAAGGAAAAAGGAAGAGAAAAAGAAGACAAAGCTAGGGCATAGGAGAAGAAGAATCCTCATTACAAAAGTTTGGAACCCATAATCTAAGTTAAGGGTGAGAATTTCTCTTGTATAAGGGATTGTATGATAACATGTGGGCGAATGATTGAGTCTCTCTGTGATTGCATTTTTCTTCTATATGTTATGAATCATTTGATATGTATGATGATGCTACTATGATGTATGTTTAGATGAATTGTGGGATGAGCGAATGATTATGATGTTGTGTGTTGTACGAAATTAGAGTGTGAAACTGGAGTAAATGATTTTTCATGAAAATTAGGGTTTTAGGGATGTGTTCGGGACTGATTTTCGTAAAACAGAATTGTAGAAATTAATATTGTCTCAATGGTAACTGGTTACGAGTTTTGGTGTAAATTGTTACACCTGAGACAATTTTTTGAAAAACTCAATTTTTGAGGGTGTAACCGGTTACGTGTTTTGGTGTAACCAGTTACATTATCAAACAAAAACGTGAAACTGAGCGTTTTCGGAGGTGTAACCGGTTACCAGTTTTGGTGTAACCGGTTACCAGTTTTGGTGTAACCAGTTACCACTAGGAAAAATCATATATTACTTATTTTTGGAATTGATGTATCTTGTTACCTATTTTGATGTAACTGGTTACCACTACTGTGTCAGAACTAAATAAATTCATAACTTGTGTTTCAGGTGTCCGATTGAGGTGTCGTTTGAAGCATTAGGAAGCTGACGCAATGTACCTTAATTTAAAAATAGCCTCAGTACCTGAAAATGAATTAAATGTTGCGTAATGGTGTTGTATAGTATATGGTTTGTATGTTGTGGTATCGTAATATGTATGAATGTTATGTTTTTACCTGCTATGTTACTATAATGCTATTGTTGAATGCTTGTATTATATATGTATGGTGTTTAGTGGCCAGTATTAGTGCGGTACATTGGTTAAGGTGAATATCATTATACATGTTGTTGCATGTCATTCATGAATCATGCATCACAGTGTTTGGACAGTGGTCCGCTTTTGGTGATCCTTAATCCTATGGTGGGGATTGAGTGCGAGTAGCTGGTTCGATGTGAGAATCAGTGAAGCGTTATCTATGGTGATGATAACGATTTTTGGTGTGCTCTGATCCTATGGTGGGGATCAGGGTGAATGAACATGAGAGTTTACAATTGGTACCACATGCATTGAGTCATAGAGTTAAGTCTCATTGCATTGCATATTTGTTGTATTATAATATTCAGATTGTGTGGAGTGTGAGTTGTAGAACGAGTGATTATGTATGTGATAATCATGTGCTTATATATTATTATGTAGTTTTATTATATGATTGTGATTTCTCACCCGTTCTGTTTGAATGTTGCCTTTTCATAGTCATCGTGCAGATAATTCGAATTAGAGGTGTGAAAATGACTATAAGAGATTACTCTCCCTTATACCTTTGTTGAGTTGGCGTCTGATCTAATATGTAACACTAGAAAAAAGAACGTTTGTTTTTTTATTTTATGTTGGTGGAGATTATTATGTTAATCTCATATGTTTGATATTTCTTTATAATTACATTGTGTTATGATTATGTTTGAAAAGTTAAACTAGCCTGTTTGTTTAATGTTTTTCCGTTGCTAATAAAATGTTAAGTTCAGACTTGCATTGTGATTCCTAATATTTTTAAATTTTATATATGTTACATATCTTATTGCATGAGCAGGTTAAAATTGAATGTAACATCCAAATTGCTTAATTGTTTTAATTTACTCTGATTGTTATTTATAAATTATGCGGAAAAATTAAGATATTAGTAAGATTTCAAAATTAAAAAGCAAATAAATTTATCATACTCACTAAAAATAATGTGAAAATCTCATGCGATTAATGTTACTAAATGACCTTCAAATGTCAAAACCCAATTGAGGGTAGGCATGACAACGGAATGGGTCGGGGTGGGTTTAAGCAGCCCCGCATCCACATCCGCCTCTCTGAAACAGACACGCCCCCGCACCTGCACTCAGTCGAGGATAAAAAACTTCCATTTAGACCCGCCCCCACCCGCAAAACTATTTTTTAAAAAATAAATATATTTTTTATAACAATAAAGATTAATAATTTAATTAAATAATTAATCATTTTAATAATACATGTTTCTAAAGAGTAAAATAACTAATAAAAATATTTTTCTAGTAAAACTATTTTCTAAAAATTAAAATAACTCTAATAAATGTATAATAAAATAATTAAAATAAGAAATAGAAATAAATTAAAGTAGACCGGGTCGGGTGCAGGGCGGATAATAACATCCTTCTTCTCCATAGTAGAAAACTGGGTTTTACCCGCACCCAATTAAACCGCATTTTTTCCGTTAATTTCGAGGCGGATCTGAATTTCCTTGTCATGTCTAATTGAGAGATTAACGTTACTAAATATTCTTCAAATGTCAAAAGCTGATTGAGGAATGTCTCAATAACACTAGAAATTTGAGTTAATTATTATGGTTGAGCAAAGTGTCTTTTTTTTAGTATTATTGGTAAAAGATATGTAAATGTGACTTGAGATTATGCCCTTCAATCAATCTAAAATCCTACGAAAAAGAGGTCTAAAAACTAGCTTCACTTCATAACTCCCTTTCAAGTTTATATTTTCGATTTTTTTTCCTGGTCTACCCCCTTTTTGAAATTTATATCAAAATATTCCATTAAAAGAAAATTATCCAAATGTTTTAATATCAATACATGTTTGTCCATTGAATTGGCGAAGAGAAATGTGTGCATAAAGGTGTTTGTCCGCTGAGTTGACGAGATTTTAATATTTTCACTTTTTCATATTCAAGTGTTCGTCAAGTGAACGAACATCTTGACGAGATTTTAATATTTTCACTTTTTCATATTCAAGTGTTCGTCAAGTGAACGAACATCTTCATGCACACATTACCTTCATCTACTCGCCAACCTAGTGGACGAGCACGTACTAACATTATAACATCTGAGTAATTTTTTTTTTAAATGAGATATTTTGATATATAAATTTCAAAAAGGGGTAGAATAGTAAAAAAATCTATATTTTCTTTGTTCAGTTTACTATCTCTTATATAAAAAATATTAGTCTTCTATTTATCACCTATCATTTTACAGAAAGATACAATTAACTTACAGGAAAAGTATATTTTGCAATATGTACACATCTATCAAATATAGTTTTTAAGTGGTTACATAAGGTTGACATGGCATAAGTCATAACCTTAAATAAAATAATGTACAATTAAATCAATTTCCAGATACAAATTGAAACTACAGTATCTTGTCAATAAAAAGAAGAAACAAACTACATTACAGATTACAGATCTAAAGGAACTTTGACCACTATACTTCATCCCCTAGTAGCTTTGGAACTTCCACGGTACCACATCTTCATGAAGTAATTTGTTCTACAAACGCTCTAAAGTGCAAATATAGCACTAAATCAGTATTTGTATGCTTGACAAAAAAATCATAATTAACAACAACTGCTTTTGCAGGACCTCTGGTTTTTGGTTCACACAAAATTATATTGCATGTGCATATAGTTTCACAGCTTCCTTCCTCGCTCGCAGATCTTGGTGTAGCAGTCCTCACATGACAGTTTGATCTCCATTAGCTCTCCATAATTATCCCATTATCGTCGTCGTCCGTGGAATCTTCAGGGGATGTCGTCTTTGGAAAGAATTCTTCATCAGGGTACATTTGACTAAATAGCTGCAAGAATACCACCCCCAAACAAGTAGTATTAGAACATTGGTAATTACAGGTCCTTACCAATTAACAACCTTAACATGTTTTTGGTTTTTACATGTTCATCGTGTCAAAGTAAATGCTTGAGAACACATTTTGCAAACCCATTTCCCTATTTCATGAACAAAAATTGCAAGCAATTTAACCAGCTACTCTTTTTTTTTTCTTTTCTTTCCAAATGCATTCCCAGTGGTATTTTTTCATATACATGAGTATCAAGATATTCAAGACCAAACTCAAGACAACAAGCTTAAAAGACAGTGTCTAGCTAAACACTTAACAGTAACAACTACTCATATAGACATACAGTGAAAAGTTAACAGAAGATTGGCGAGAGCATACACACCTTCTCAGTTGCATCTACAAGGTCATTGTAGTTTAGATTTCCATCTGGTGTTGGAGTGGAACTGATAGCTTCAAATTTACCCTGAAATAGAAATAAATATTTCCATTATGAAGGGTGCCCATATCGATGTTACATGTGTCTGGATCGCATCTTTCCTGACAAAATTCTTAAGACACTGCCTAATTCATGTAAAATATCTCATCGTTTAGGGTAATAATAAAAATAGAAGAAAGGCATTCACATGAGTCAAAACTCATGTGTTCAGCAAAGGAAATGATGCAAGGAACAAATGCGCATATAATATTAGGGTAAGTAAAAAATACACATCATACAATAAAGAAATTTGTGAACAAGCCAGGACTAGAAGCACACACCATAGTTAATTTTTGAACATAAATTGCACTCCAGAGCACAACGGCTTTTTTATCTTCACTGTCACTTTGAACAATGGTTTCTGTGTTTCCAGATACAGGCAATGTAAGAAGGGCCTTCATGGATGCTTTTAGTAACTTCTTTCCTTCATCGGCATCATTGCACAAAGTGGAAAAATATAAAACAAAGCTGAGAAATAGAAGGAAAATATGGTCAGTTTAGTTCAAAAGATCATGGCAAGGAAAATATAAGTGTTATTATTAGGAATTAAACATGAATATAGTAATGTAAAAGAGTATAATTATAAATGCCAACCATGGGGGAAACTGTTAACTCTCTTGAATTATAGGAACTTAAACTAAAACCAATACAAACAAACAAAAATATGAATGGCAGCAAAATATTTTTAAATGTTAGTTCCAGAGAGTACATTGACCAGGCCAATCTGGTTCACTCTTGCTGGCCTATTGGGTGTGATTATTCATATTTTCTAGTTTGTGTTTTTATTTATGATAGGAGCTATGCGTTTGAGACTTAGTGCCAAATTATATGTCTCATTTGCAAATGGGCTCACATTGGGATGTTAGATGATATGGAGTTGTATGCTCGCCTGCTAGGTTCATTCACTTCATTGTGCTCACTGCAATCTTGCAACATTGAGTTTTGTCGTGTTTTTCAATTTGCAGGTTCATTTATGCTACAAAGCATTATGATTCAGCCTTTTCAATTTGGGTTTTTCAAAAACATCTTAACCTGAACTCAGTTACTAATTACTAATAGTAATGGTTTACCCTTCTCAGTTCTCAAAATAGGCATAACTTGAAAAACATCCTCTAGAGATGTAAAGCTCCCCGCTGATTTCTTGGGTCCTTAATTTTTCTATGTGAAATACATTTACCTCTATCGAATGTTTGATGCATTCTTTTGATAAAGTAAAGGCACAAAGAGCTTTTGTGATGGGGTTTGGCTGCAGTATTGAGTTTTGTTCCTTTGTTTAAACAGGGCTTTGGAGTTTCATTCATGGACTGAAGTTAACTAATCTCAGAGCTTTTCTACTATGTTATATGTAGAATCTGATCCATGGTAGCTGTTAAAGCCCTCCTTTCCATCTTTGTTAGGCTTTGGTTATTGAGATTTGGAGTTTGAAATCTAAGGCATGAATGTAAAGGGACTGCAATGTTTAGTGTGCAATAAGGGACTTCGGATAAATCCCTTTTCTTTCTAAAGGATGAACTTTTATGCTCCAAAACGTTAACACCATTGACCGTTTTTTAAATTTTCATTGCATTCCATTTAAAAAAATTTAACACATGTCAGTTTACACTGTTTTATGTGTTTGCAAACCCAGAAAATCCAGAACCAGTAACCTTGAAGAAAAATGGGATGAAGCCATGGATGCAAGTTACTCTCAAATATGACAGTTTCCTAGACTAAGAAACTAATGGCATCAGACAGATCAAGGGGGGAAATTCTGTAGTGTTTGAGGTTGAAGAAGCATAAGACTGGAGTCATCATGTTTATACAAATATTGGCTAGGAGTTCAATTAAAGCCATTGTGTTTTTAGAAAACTTTAATTGAGAAAAAAAAAAAAAGTTCCAATTTCCCCTTGAAGAGGAACCATTTATATGTTTTGAAGAGGGAAATTTTTGGTTTTCAAAGAAGAACCTGTTATGTTATTAAGGCCAAAAAAATTCCAAATCTGGATTTCCAAATTTCGTTAAGAACCTGTTTATGTTAGCATTTTGTAACATAAAGGACCAACTTGGGGGGAAACTAGAAATGGGAGAAAAGAAAAGAAAAGGGTAAAAAGAATATAAAATATGAGCATTTCAATTTTAATTTAGTAAAATAACTTACGTGCCCGCAGGACAAACTGCGAGATTCGATCCTATCTGAAGAGCTCTGACTGATGTAACCTGATCAGGATATAGAGCTAGAAGGATGGGAGAAAAGAGTCAATTTCTTTCTCATGTTTAATATGCCCCTGATTAACAAAATGTAGGGATTTAATCTATCTTACATCTAGGAGGATACACCACGGAGCAATTTGACACATCTGGCTTTATGGAACTCCTTGTGATGCATATTCCCCTTGCCACCATTCCTTTAGGAGACAACGACTGTGTTGATGGAATTGTGAAGGATGGATCTAAGATTAGCTGATGACTATATAATTCCTGACCCGAAGCTAATCTAACACCTTTATACGACTCAGTAACCTGCATTTGTTTAAAAATGAATAAGGTGAAATTGCTTTGCAATTGGGAATATTTAACATTTCAACCTCGTCTCTTATCAAACATGTTATATTATATCATTATTAACATGTCAAAGAATTATTCCTGCACCTTATCCATAAGCAGAGAAATAACCGGCATCCGAAGAACCTGATTCAAAAACATTTAAGATGTAAATAAGCATATGTGTTGAATAAAACCGCAATATGCAAGATTTAAAGAGAATGAAATTAAGGTAATTATAAATTTTCTGAAACAGACTCATAAACCCTTTAAAACTTACATAAATGCAACCTTTGACGGCAGCACGACGACAAAAACCTTGTGGTAGTTCTCCTTCACCATAAATAGGATAAATCAAAGCCCCCGGTGCACTGGGAAACCTGGAAGACCAAAGTTAATCAATTTTATAAATTATTGACAGGGATCCCTTAATTAAAATGTAACACATGAAATGAAACAAGGTGAATAAGGACTCACCTTCCAACAGATGAGCTGTATTGAGCTAAACGATCTATGCCATCTTTTGTTGTAAGTAAGTCTTTACAAACCTCGCCATTTTCTTGATCAAAATCTACCATGGCTATAGCATACAAAAGAATCCTATTGAAGACAAAGAGGATTTACATTAGCTTACTGACACAGGTCAACAGGTTATGCATGCACCATAAACAGTTAGGCTTAACATAGTTTTTTCAAAAATACCAATGAAAGATGAGAGGTATAGTACTCTTCATAGCACAAGAAAAATATATACAACACCCCGCCAGAGTATATACAAGCCGGGCTACTCACAAACATCTTAAGATTTTAAATATTTGGTGGGAGGAAGACAGTTAAAAGAATTTAAAAAGTAGTCAAGCATCAATTCACCAATTGTTGCAGGGAAGGAGTTCGAAAGAGTCTTTAATAGTATTCCGTTGGTGTGACATAACATCTGCTTGTTGATTTGATTGTGATTTTCAAAGCACGGCATAAAAAAATCTCCCTCTTATTTTCTCAGTTCAAGATTGACAAGGAAATAGAGAAGTTACAGGGGGGGGCTTATCAAGCTAGAGACCAAAAATTTCAACAGCATGTAGAATAATATTTCCCACTGCTTATGTCCATGCAATTGTTAAAATGACTAGTGCTAGGAGTAACATGGAATTGCAGAAACTAACATCTCTAAAACTTCAGTAATTATCTGCTCTTTACACCAGCACCTCTGAGAAAATGTGTGTTTGTGTCTTTGTCCGTGTTGTACACCGACACTTGTGATTATATTTAAGTTATTCATTTTTCAAATTATTACCGGTGTTGTCGTATCAGTGTCGGTGTAGTTTTCAGGGCTTCTGTTCTTCATAGATTATCAGACAACAAAACATTATCATCTATAAATCAAGTCAACACTAGTCTATGAAGTTATGCAGTCAACTCAAGACTAATACATTAGTATAAACACACTATATATAATAATCAGATAGAACACAACCTAAAAATATTCCTAAGCTTCTGTGCGGAAATTAAACAAACAGAGACATATATAAAGTAAATCAACTCTCACTAGGAAATGGAAAATGGTAAATACGCTTTTATCTTTGGCGGCAACCCGGTTTTCTCCAAGAAACTAACAAAAGGACTCTCCATGTCTTCCTCTGAAATCATTCCATCCTCATTATCACCCAAGTGTTGCTGAACAAGCTTGAAGAACTTCATCAATTGGTTTTTTTCCTTAAGCGAAAGTTTCTTGTCTCTAAAAATGGCCCCACGTGAATCTGGCACATTAACCAAACCCTCTTTTGCGTTGTACACGAGACTCGTGTCGATGCCTTTGAACTCCAAGTACTGTGCAGCACCTGATTTCAACAATAGGTCGATTGTTTTGTCCGCGCTGAACAGTGCCCTGGGTCCTCCCAAATCGAGGTTGAACTTTCTCGAATTTTCTAGAAGAAACGTGGATTCGTCAACAGAATCGCACGAAATGATCTCTGCGTCGGATACAAGAGGTTGCTGGATGAGGTTTATGACGGCATAGTCGGAATCGCTTGATGATGCGGCGGCGGTGATGGATTTGAGAGGGGAATTGAGGTAAGAGGTGATTTCTTCTAGAGAGAGAGAAGCAAAATTGCTGCCGTAGAAGGAATTAGGGTCGAGGTGGAGGACGGTTTTTCCGACGGCCGATGCGGCAGCGGAGATGATCGATTCGGAAAGGCCAGTGCCGACGATGATTAGATCAAAGTTCACCGGATCTATGGGAGGGTAGGAAGAGGACTCTTCGGCTTCAGACATGGCGACGACGGCGCGTGTAGGTTATTCGCCGTCTTTGCCGTGAATGAAATCAAAGAATCGGCAACAAAGTATTGTTTGGAAGTCGTTCACATTGAACTATTTTTCTTTTTATTAGTACTAATCAAAAAATGTGCTACTTTGGATTTTGTTGTTTGATGCTAAGGCAATAAAAAATTTAATTATTAAATTTTAATAAAATTAATCTACTATATCAAAAAAAAATTAGATTTTAATACTAATGTGTGTCCTTATGGTATATGTTAGCATTTTTTTTTTTTTTTATCATAGAGTATCGGTCCATCATTTTTTTCATGTTAAAATTCATTTTTTTAAGTAAATAATATAGAATTTTGCAAATTCAAACTCACAATTACGTAAATATGCAATTCTTTGAATCGAAATTTAAGTGGTGTGTTTGTATTCGATGGATGTCTAAGATGTTTTTAGTGTGTGTCGAAATAGTATGCGTCAAATTGAGTCTATATTAATTGTAATTTGATAGAAAGTCAAATATTGTTGGTCGAAGTATGCAGTCAAAATATGTAGATGTCTGTTGACATAGTCAAAGAAAATTGATTAGTTCTCGTTGAGTTAGTTATTTTGTGATTACTTTGAGTGCAAGTAATCTCATTTATAAATAGAGAAAAACTCTATTTCATTTATACGAGAAAATAACATGTTTTGTAATAGTTTTATGTAATTTTAGAAATCACAATTGTGATTAACGCACTTTGTAGCAAACACTTGGAGTGCAATTTGCACAATTATACATTCTACTTCTTCCTCCATAATTTTTCTTTTTTCTCAATTCTAATTGTATTATTTCTTCTTTTAATTATTTGTGTAGTGTAAAATTATCTTACAACTAAGTAGTGGTTGTTTTATCTAAATAAAGGGTGAAGAACAAAACATGTATTCAATTATAAAAACTATTATTTTTTATTAAAATTGATTTGGTTAACTTCAAGATTGAAAATTTTTAAATAGTACATTTAATATTTCTATACAGCTAGCTATCAGTTGAGTTGGTTTAAGGAGACACTAATGTATATTTTTTAAGGCAAACATTTATTTTAAGAATTTAATGCAGATATTTAGCTTAATCTTTATAAAGTTAAATTTTATGAAATTTATTTTTGTAAAAAGAAATTAAAATTTAGTCTTTTTTAAATAGTTTTTAAGCATACACAATATATATATATATATATATATATATATATATATATATATATATATATATATATATATATATATATATATATATATATATATATATATATATATATATATATATATATATATATATATATATATATATATATATATATATATATATATATATATATATATATATATATATATATAATATATATGTGTGTGTGTGTTATATAGTAGGTTTCTTTGTTTAAACTTTAAAAAATATTTTATTTTTATTTTAATATACTATATTTTAAAATATTCAAAGTTTGTTAAATTTATGTTTTATAAATTGGAGGATTAATTTTGACATCTTTTATGCATTGTTGAAGATAAAAAATAGTCAAAATTGCATTTTTTTTTTTAAGTTTTGGTTCAAAAATAATTTGTATGAAAAACTATTTGAAAAAAATTAAATAATTTTTTGAAATTTTGTTATTCAAAAAAGCTTCAATGAGATGATAAAAATACTAAAAGCATCGTCACAATTACCTTTAACCCGCCCCGAGTTAGGAGGACACCACAAAATATCAATTATATTGGGAGTGCGAGGAGGCCGAATTGCAACACCAAAAGCTTTGATCAAGAAAAAAATAGGTAATCGAAATAGGGGAACGATTAGAAGCTTTGTTACCGGATATCATAGTTTGGTTCTGAATTATTGTGATAGAGTTTTTTTTTGTTTGGCTTCAAGTTTTCATGCTTGAGTTTGTTCCTAGAGCCCAAATGTGATTTGTAACACCCCAAATTTATTGGAATATTTATTTAATTTATTTAAATAGGAATATTCGTATTTTTGGTGATTTGTGGTGGTTGGTATGAAGTATTGAGAATTATGGATTTTGGGTTATTTATTTAAATAATAGTATATAAAATGAATATATTGATATTATTATTAATTTAAATAAATATAAGTGAATTAAGGGTAAAGTGGACATTTGAGGAGGAGTTAGTGAGGGTGAAATTGGAAAGCCCATTTTAAGGCTCAAAGTTAGGTTTAACAAAAAGGAATTTTGAGGGAATTAAAATTCATTCTTGTTAGACCATGAAAAGAGAAGAAATAGAGGTCAGAGCTCTAAGGGAAGAGGATTGAGGCAAAGTTTCGCGAGGTTTCCAAGAATCAAAGAAGAAAGGTTTAGAGTCGGCAAATTAAGGTATGGGGAGTATTGCCTTCATTATTTTCAATATATGATTCAATGTATTTAAAGTCGATTTAAGGATTTATGAGATTTTTGAGTTTGAGGAAATTAGGCCTTCGTGGCCAAATCTGTTTTTGAGGTTGTTTAAGTATGGGGAGTATTGCCTTCATTATTTTCAATATGTGATTCAATGTGCTTAAAGCCAATTTAAGGGTTTAGAGATTTTGAGTATTGAGTTATTGTTGCCTTTCTAGTGAGTTTAATGAGTTTGAGAGATTTGAACTGATGATCTGATAGGTTTGAGGTTGATTTGGGAGTAAGGAAAATTAGGCCTTCGTGGCCAAAATCTGTTGTTGAGGTTTTAACCGTATAGGGTAATTGATTATGAGAACTCTAATGAATGTGGGAAAATTGTAAGGATTTTATGGGAATTGGAGGCGTAAATATGATACAGGATTGACCTAATAAGTCGTAGATTTTGTGCTTTTATCGCTGTAATACCTTATGAATGATTTAGGGATGTTTTTGGGGCATTGGGGAAGGAAATCGTATGGACTTTTGGGCTAGTTTTGGTGCTGGTGCGTAACAGTGTTTTGCTGTAATAATGAGTTTGCACGGTGAATGATCCTTCGCACGGCGAACACTCGCCCCAGACTCGCACGACGAACTGTCCAACAAACGTAGCAAAGTTCCATGAATTGTGTTCTTGTGCAGTGTTATTTTGATGCTTTGATGCTGTGATTTTCTTAATGAATTACCTCGCGTATGACTGTGATTCATATGTGATTAATACATAATTGTATGATGATTCCTATGAGTAATGATGATGAGTTATGATGTCGATTCCATGAGTTTTGATGATTATATGATGACATGATTATTATGATGATTTTGATGAATGATGATGCACCTAATGAGTTTATTATAAGGATGATATTGACGTGTGCATCATGCATTCATATGCATTTCGGGCTTTGGTCTGGTGTTTGATTCCTGTGGCTTCAGTCCCATTGTGCGGATGTGAAGTATTTTGTTGTGTTTCGGTTCTTATGTATAATTGGTCCTATTGATGAGGATCTATGGCTAGTTGATGGCCCAGTGTCCATCGAATTTTGATGAATTGGTACCACATGCATGAGTCGTGTTGCATTTGCATTTATGTGATAATTTGGTGTAATTTATGATATTATGACTTTTTGATGTTTCCTTGATGATTATGATGATGTTGAATATGAAAATGACATTATTTTATATATTGATTCCTATATTGATTATTATGAATCGTTTTACTCACCCTGCATGTTTGAATGTTGCCTCCACGTGGGTAACGTGCTGATGACCAGGTTTAGTCATGGATGTCGTCAAGGACTTTTTGGAGTTTTTGACATTTTGGTTGACTTAAAGGGTCTTGCTCTGATAGTGTAACATCAGGTTGAGGTTTTTGAGTTAAACCGTGTTTTATTGATTATTGTTATTTTGATTATGTTGTTGTGCAAGAAAAACTTTGAATTTTGCCTTTTTGAGTTCTGCTGCCTTTTGAGTAATTCTGGGAAAACCAATTATTTACGGAGCATTGACTTTTATTTGAGTTTTTGAGAAATATACGTCATTTGAGGTGATTTTTATTGTGTTTAATATTTTACTCTGATAAATGTGATTGATTTGCCATTATATCTGTGGGTAGAAAAGGGTGTTACATTAGTGGTATCAGAGCAGGTCGGTCTGTCCGACCAAGTTGTCTAATGTTATTTGTTCCCTAGTATGCAACATGTATGTGAAAACACTGTCGGTACACGTTTATTTTCTAACATTTGTCTGTTGAAGTGGGAATGAAACAAGTGGGGGAGAAGCTTGTGCTTTTCTAGGATGCTTCAAGTGTGGAGTGGTGGCTCAATGTGTTGATGAACCCTGTTATAGTTTGGTAAAGATGGTTTATTCCCCATCATGATTTTCGGCTGTCTATTGACAAATTGAGGAATTGATCACCCTTAATCTCTTGTTGATAGTAGACGGAGTCATGTTGGATGGGATAGACGTGTCTTGCAAGCTTAGATGGCACGTAGAGTGAATTGTTTTGAGTTAAGCTAAGTGCTTACAGATTGTTTTGGTGAGTCGGTGCAGGATGGTGCTGAGATGTTTATTTTGATGGAAACTTTGAGTGTTAATAAAGTGGGGAAGTTGGTGGTGTGCCAATTATTTGTGATTATCCAAAAGTTTTTTCTGATGAGATAAGTGATTTACTGTCGGAACGTGAAGTGGAATTTACTATCGACCTAGTTCTTGGAACTAGTTTGGTAGCGATGGCTCCATATTGTATGTTCACACCAGAATCGAAGAAGTTGAAGAATCAACTTGAAGATCTGCTTGAGGAGGGGTTCTTTTGTCCGAGTGTGTCACCGTGTGGGGTGCACCAATTTTGTTAGTTAGGAAGAAAGAATGTTCTGTGAGACTTTATGTGAATTATAGACAATTGAATAAGGTGACTATGAAGAATAAGTGTCCACTTCCAAGGATTAATGATTTGATGGATCAGTTGGTTGTTGTAAGTATGTTCAGTAAGAAAGGTTTGAGATTTGTGTATCATCAGATTCGTGTGAAAGCTGAAGATACTCAGAAGCCTGCTTTTAAAACAAGGTATGGACATTATGAGTATTTCGTGATGCC